CTTCTTGAGTGATCTTTCCGGTGACATTAATTCCTAACTCGGTATTAATGTTGATGACACAACTATATACACCTGTCTTAAGTCCGATAAAGAAAACCTGACAGCTGATCTACAAAATAAATTTCAATATGTTGTTAAATGGGGCAATAAATGACTTATAAACTTTAACATCACCAGAACGAAATCGCTATCATTTAGTTATCTTAGTGAATCATTTTAATCTTATGCCAACCCCCAGGAGAGTGATTCATTACGCTTTCTCAGGCTAACGTCTACCACTGACATAGAGTAGAATAATTCGATTGAATCAATTGTTAGGACTACTGCTAGGAAACATGATTCACGGCGTCGTCCTAGATATTTTTTCTCAAAAGAATCCATCTTGCACGTTTATAGAGCTATCATTCATCTGTGCATTGAATATTGCTGCTACATCTAATTGGCTCTGATCTGGCATCTCAACTGCAGTCACTCTTTCACAGACGTGCCGTCGCCTCCCTCTGTCTTTTTTACAAATACTTTCATGGTAACTGCTCCGATGAGATGTTTTCACTGGTTCCCAGAATTCATGAATTTAAGCGTTCTAATAGGCTGATATCTCGCTCTCACCCTTTCGCTGTAGAAACTGTTAAATGTAGACGTCTCTTCTACTTCAATAACTTCATGTCTCGCACTTCTCGCCTGTGGAACTCCTTCCTCTTTTCCTGTTTCCCTGATATCTATAATCTCCAACTATTCAAATATAATGTCAATCGACGTCTCCAGATGCCTTGATCTATGCCTTTTCTATAAATATTTACATTGTAATTATTCTAATTAATCCGCTTCCTCGGTATCTCGACCGCATGAATTCAAATGTAATACTAGATTGGCAGTAAGGTCCCTTCGTTTTATTGTTTAAATAGCTAGATGTAACCATATGTTCTACTCTAATGGTTTATTTTCTCGCTTGTGGAACCCTTTTCCGGTTTCTTGTAACCTACAATCTTCAAAACTGAACTTCTGTCTGCCTGTGTTCTTTTATTGTCTTTTTTCCTCACTAAGGTTTTTGATCTTCTTTCACACTCAGTAACCACGTGAATCTTAGTGACTTTATTGCTTCGCTTACGGAGAAACGATTTTTAAAGAAAAACTTATTCAAACTTCTACTTGTTTAATATTGATCAGTTTGGTTTGGTTTACGGCATATCAACACCTCAATGGGTTATTTAATGCCAAAAAGATTTTTATTTCTGGTAATATTTTCTTCAAAAAGTATTACTGCTAATATATATATTCTTTCTTTTTATTGCTGGTAATATTTTTTCTTCAAAAAAGTATTTCTGGTAATATTTTTTTTTACAAAAATGTATTGCTGGTATTAAAACCTGTTTTTACACTTTCATAATGTTTTGATCTCCAGTTTGGGGGTTAAGTATTTGCCCATAGCTGGGATCATAACAGGTACTATCACTCCGGTTTAGAGTGAACCTGAGGACACTAGCAATTAAGACGTGATTCCACGCTCCATAAAACCACGTGATCAGAGGCCTTGCTGTTGTACGTAGTTCATCGTCTGACCCAGGAAGCGGATATAGTTCATTGTCTTACCCAGGACGCGGATGTAGTTCATCGCCATACCTGGGACGCGGATGTAGTTTATCGTTTTACCCAAGACGCAGATGTAGTTCATCGTCTGACCCAGGACGCGGATGCAGTTGTTTGTCTTACCCAAGATGCGGATGTAGTTCATCGTCTTACCCAGGACGCGGATGTAGTTCATCGTCTTACACAGGACGGTTCAATATTGAAGGATAGTCTTTATGATTAAAATGATTTTCTTTATCGCATTTTATTTATTTTAGTGCAGTAAGCAGTATTCCACTGGAAAAGGTAAAGTAAAAGTTAACAACGCTTAAATGGAATCTGATAACCGTCGCCATATTCCTGCTAAGCCGATTTCAATTTTACTAATGTCCTTGGGAAATGCATGATTCCATCCATTCTTCCTTCCAGCTATGAGTACAATAAAAGTGCAGAGAAGGCTTACTATCTTTTCTAGAAAAGCAACAAAGCGAAACCAGTTCACTACCTTATACAAGAAGTTTAAAAATAATAAAGAATTGGAAGTAGTGAAGAGCCATGATTGCTTACTTTCTGAAGAAATTTTTCGTAAGTATGTGTTTTTTTTTTCGGTTTAGCTAGTTCACATTCGAATTGAAGTAGTTTCTGTTCATTTCAAACTATTGCATTTGGGAAAGGCAGGAAACCACCTCTCCCTGTTGATTGTTCTCTTCGGCAAGTTAATATGGCATCCAGGTATAATCCTCTGCATGTTCTTTAGAATTAATTACCGCCAAATACTCAAAATGTCCCTAGAAATTCTATCAGGACACCTGCATTGTACCCGGACGATCTACTACATTCGAGAATCGAAAAAGAAATTGCTTCTTACCGCCTTCCCAGGCATATTTTTACTATGACGAAAGGCGGGTACCTTTTTTCTTTTTTCTTTTTTTTTTTTTTTGAGAGAGACACCTGCAACTTTAAGATGATTTTCACATATTTAAGTATTATAAATGAGGCGTTTTTTTAAATGAATTTTCTAGCGTCTACTTTCTTTTTTATTTATTTATTCATTTTTTATCGGTGCGAGAACATCCGATGATAAATATGTTTGCAAAATAAAGCATAGTTGAATACACACACACATACACACACACACACACACACACACACACACACACATACATACATACATACATATATATATATATATATCAAACGGAAGTAAATAGAAACTTCTAATAAATAAAACCGATTTCAAAATTTGGCAGGAAAGGAGCTTTTTGCCTAATGGAAAACATTCTTCCTCAATAAACAGGTTCATTCATAAATCGCATCTGTTTGATTTTTATGTCTCTGTACCAAAGAATGACAACGTGGATTTGTATATTTGCGTCCTATATTATGTCGATATATATATATATATATATATATATATATATATATATATATATATATATATATATAATGAAGAAATATAGTTTTAAGGTGTGCTGGGATAAATGGGATAAAGTGCTCAATATTTTGAATATATACAGAGTGTCCATAAAGTTCGTGTGCACTTTAAAAAATTTTAAACTTTATTTGTATTTGTGATAGAAATAATCTGTAAAAAATGTTATAAAGTTTAATGTATTTAGTTTTAAGTATAGCTAAAATAACTAATGTGATTTCAGGATTACTGTAAATCCGTTGGCAAATGTTTTCCGTGAACTGCAAAATCGTATTACCCTTTGTATTGCTAATGATGGAGGACACGTGGAAACTTAAATAAAATTTCAATAAAACCTCAAAAAATATAGATTTACTTCTTTCTAATCCTTTTTACAAATTATTTCTATCGCAAATACAAATAAAGTTATAAATTTTTTAAAGTGCACACGAACTTTATGGACACTCTATATATATATATATATATATATATATATAGTTTGAATATATATATAGTTTGAATATATATATATATATGTATATATATATATACACACATATATATATACATACATACATACATGGGTTCATTGGTAACAAAGATCTCATACTAACAGTACACATATAAACAGGTTTGAACGTGTATTCAGAAATGAATAAAGTTCTGCTCAAACTTGCTTAATGTTAGTTCGCTGGTTCTCGGCACTGAATTGATCGAAGGTGAATTGACAAGTGAGAGTAATGGTTCACACCACGTGAATAGTGGATATAGAACATTTTCTGAGCGTTTTTATTTTACTGTTATCAACAACAGAAGAAGACGAAGAAGTTACATAAGAGGAATGCTGAATGAGGTTGTTAAAAGCTGGCCTGAAACTTGAAAAGCTTAATTATCGAGGAAGCATCCCCTAGGAAGAAGATGCTCGAATTTAACTTCCTCCTTTCAAATAGAATACGAAGGTAATAGGGATGATTAGATCCAGTAGCTGTGAATGTCTGAACACATATGAGTTTTTTTCTCATAGAACCTCCTATTTACCTATACATGAATTTTATCTAAAAGCAAGTCCTCTGATCAGGTGATTTTGAGGATTGTGGAACCACCTCTTGTTTGTTTGTTTTTCCCAGGGCCACTCTGACTCCGGGTGGTAGCACCTGTTAGGGTCCCAGCTATGGGCAAATAGTTAACCCGTCGAACTGGGATCAAAACACTTTTCTTCTTTTTATGTGTCATGTTCTTTCAGGAAGTAGGCGATTATGGCTCTCCACCTCCCTCTATCCCTTGCAGCTCTCAACAAGTTCCTTCCCTCTGCCTCCTCCCCCCACACTACATTCTGTCATACACTTGCCAGGTATGTCACGCATTGCCCGCCAGATATGTCATGCGTTGTTTTCCCTTGTTTTCCCTTGTCTCACTTTCCCTCTATTCGACCCGTGAGTACCTGATTCTGCAAGCCGTCCTCCGTCCTCAATATGTGTCCCAGGAACTTTAGCTGCCTCTTCCTGGTGTTAATTATAAGCCCCCACTTTGTTTGCATCCTCTACAAGACCTCATAGTTGTTTACACGCTTGGTCCATGATGTCCTCAGCATCCTTCTGTAGAACCACATCTCTGTCGCCTTGAGTCTCTTCTTCATCTTTGAGGAAATCATCCAACATTCGCTGTTGTAAAGGAGGACAGATGTCACGTAACAGCTCAGTATTATTTTCTTTGTTACCAAAGAAATACACCTGTCTCGCAATACTCTGGCCAATTCCATCAGATCCTTGTGGCGAATTTTAGCGAAGGCCTATGAAAGTTTTAAAATATGTTTTAATACCACCCGTACGTTTTTGTAAAAATAAAAATATTTCCAGCAATAATTTTTTGAGGAAAAAATTATTAGCAGCAATACATTTTTGAAAAAAAATATTACCAGCAATACATTTTTGAAGAAAAAATATTAACAGCATTAAAAATCATGTCGACATTAAATAGCCCATTGAGGTTGACATACCGTGAAACAAACCTAACCAAACCAAAGCAATCTTTCTCTTTCTCTCTCTCTCTCTCTCTCTCTCTCTCTCTCTCTCTATCTATCTATCTATCTATCTATCTATCTATTTGAAAAAGATATTAGCAACACTAAAAATCTTGTCGGCATTAAATAACCCATTGAGGTTGATATACCGTAAAATAAACCCAACCAAACCAAACCACAAAGCTGCTGTTGTTGAAATTCCTCAGGTGATGTGGTTTCTCTTGTTTAGTAGAATTCTTTGTGCTTTTGTAGCGCAAGTTCTAAATCTTCGAAGAAAAATGGTCTTCGTGCATCTTTAATGATTGATCTTAGAAAGCGGTTACATACAGCTGAATGCGGTCTGGCACCGTGCATGACATTCTAGATGCGATTCTATATCGAACGAGGATATTTCAAAACATGTCTCGCATTTCCAGATAAATATTTTGATTTTGTAGAAATTTGCATTGGTAGAATTTTATTGCGTACATTTTGACTTGCCTAATAAAATCTGGCAAAGTGAATATGAAATACAAAAAAAAGTGACAATATCTAGAATATTTAAGAAAAACTCCACAAAACTGTATTTAAAATAATTCAAATATTCATACCTTTATTCACTGAATAAGTCTTTTTATACATATTAACATTTTGTAAATATACATTTTTTTTCACAGATCTAAACAACTTTTCCTTGCAAATATGTTTTCAGGGCGTTTGTTTATTTATCAATTATTTTCGGGTAAAGCACGTGTCAAGATCGATCAGTGGGTGGAATTATTCAGTTCCTAATTCATGATGTATTAAAATCTTTGTGCTGAAGTGAACGTTTAAATCTCCTCCAGCAGTTACTTTACACTTTTGTGTAATATATAACATCATTCAGTGTTCTTTTAAAGAACTGATACTATCAAGTTTAAATCTAACCTCGAAAACCAGTGCAGTCAGATTGTTTTCTTTATTCCCGGTTTTCCAGTAACTATCGGTACTCTATGCTGCTTTGTTGACTATCAGTTAGTTGTGCGACAGCAGAATGGTGCATCACTTCCGCAGTTCTTTATATAAGAACGCATTTTCTCCTCTTTTGACTGTTAGAGGTCTGCTTGGATTTCTCTGTGGCCTTTAGAGATGAGCTTGGATTTCTGTGTGGCCGTTAGAGATGAGCTTGGATTTCTCTGTGGCCTTTAGAGATAAGCTTGGATTTCTCTGTGGCCTTTAGAGATGAGCTTGGATTTCTCTATGGCCGTTATAGATGAGCTTGGATTTCTCTATGGCCGTTATAGATGAGCTTGGATTTCTCTGTAGCCATTATATATCCGCTTGGATTTCTCTATGGCCCTTATAGATCTGCTTGGATTTCTCTGTGGACGTGAGAGATGTGCTTGGACTTTTCTGTGGCCGTTCGAGGTCTTCTTGAATTTCTCTGTAGCCATTAGAAATCTGCTTGCATTTCTCTGTGGCTGTTAGAGTTCTCCTTGAATGTCCCTGTGACCATTGGAGATTTGCTTGATCTTCTATTTGACCGTTAGAGATCCGCTTGGATTTCTCCGTGGCCGTTCGAGATCCTATTGGATTTCTCCATGACCGTTAAAGATCCTCTTGGATTTCTCTCTGACCATTAGAGATCTGTTTGGATTTCTCTCCGACCTTTATAGATCCACTTGGATTTCTCCGTACCTGTTAGAAATTTTCTTGGATTTCTCCGTAGACGTTAGATAGCCTCTTGGATTTCTCCCTGTCAGTTAGGAATCTGCTTGGATTTCTCTGTGGAAATGTACTCAATCAAACTTTATTCCTTTCCTTAGACTGTTAGTACTTTGACTAATTTACCATCTGTTCTTCGAGAGTCTTGCATCAACTGATTATACGCTTTCTACACACCAAGCTAAGTTCAGTGTCTATTTTTTTTTTTTTTTTTTTTTTTTTGGCATGATTATAAGATGAAGGATCATTACTCAATAGTTTGATATTTTTAGAAAACTTATAAAATTTTTTTGTCAGTCACATTCAGTGAAACATGCCAAAAAGAAAGGTTGCTGCTCAAATATACCATATCTGTGTGCGTTTGTGCTTGTGTGTATACGCGTGTGTGTGTTGTATTGAAGAACGTTCTAAACGTGAGTCATCATTGCATAGTAATAGGCAGTGATCATTATACTATATATATATATATATATATATATGTGCGTGTATGTGTATGTTTGTGTATGTGTCTGTGTGCATGTATGTGAGCGTGCGTTCGTGCTTTATTATTTCTGTTAATACCTACAAACGCTCTTTCCCTGATATTGGTAACTCCCCGCCCATAAATATAACGTCTGTGTGTGCGTGTGTGTGTGCGTAGTTAAGTGTATGTGTGTATGTGTGTATGCGTGTTTGTATGTGTCTGTGAGTGAGGCCCGCGCATTTGTGCGTGTGCACGCGTTTGTGTTTATGTGTGCGTGTGTTTACGTTTGTGTGTGTGTGTATGTATGTGTGTGTATTTGTGCGCGCGCGCTACCATGCATCTATTTATTGGTAACTTAAATTATGCTTACATTTGTTGAAATACGAAAAGGATCAGATTATAATTCTTCATATTTCGTTGCGTTTTTTTTTTAATGTCTGTTCTGTGACTCATTTGTCATAATTCAAAAGCGATTTGTCTCTGTCTTGTCTGATAAGCGACAAGACATGCGCCCAAAAACAGGCAGACCCCACGAAAAACAGATGACCAAATTATCAAAGAATCCTTGGGGAAGAAGTTTTTTTGTTTTTTTTTTAGAATGAACCGTGGGGTGGGGGGCACACGGACGTGATGGCTGACGAAATGACAAGCTTCTTTAAAGACGCTGTAGGTATTACATTAAACTGACTTCAAGTACCGTTTTCTTAAACGGACAACGCTGTTGCTGACTTTAATGATTAATACAGATTTTCTACTCTACGAAGCAAATTCTTCTACTTCTTTTATGTGTTGTGTCAGTCCAAAACATAGATATAGGCTCTCCACAACTTCTTATTATTTGCAGCTCGAAACAATGTTTCTACACTTACTGTTGTAACCTAAGTTACTGACTGAGGAATAACCAAAACGGAGATTGGAAATGAAATGATAATCTTTATAACATCAACAAAACTTTTGTTTAATTAAAGTTAACGTTTTCCGTAAGTCATTAGGGTTGCAGCCTGGAGAGTTAGGTGGCCATAAAATGAGGGATGATATGGTTACAGAAATTGCCTGATAGCCATGTCTGGGTTCTCCCGATTGCGTGGCATCTTGCAGAGTCATGTTGCCAGACACAGGATCTTCTAGCAGCCACCCACTTGACACAGAGCAGCACTAAGTCCTCAAAGTACTTCATGTAGACCTCTGTTGATTCCAAGGCCCTGTGCGAAGCTCAATGGAGGCAAAACTAGCGATCACACCAGACACCTTCGTAATCACCTTTAGACTCATCCAACTCTTTCCGAATCCTCTACACTGTCCTCAGATTGACATCCAAGCACCCTGAAATGTTCATATTGGAGCTTCCGGTGCGAATGCCAAGCATTATAGTATACCGTTTCGAAATTTCTGGTGGAGTGAATTACGTCATGGTGTACTTTTGCTCACAGACGATGCCCAACTGACCCTACTGTATTGTGCACCCGACAAAATCAAAAGCAGACAACGCGCATGTGCGAAATTAAAAGTATAATATGGCAACAATTTACGCATCACACCCTGCACACACACACACACACACACACACACACACACACACACACACACACACTATTAGGCCTTAAACTCGTGCCGCTCCAGTAAGTACCTGTCTACCTTTACAAGAGCTAGGTCAGGCCTAAAACGGAGTACTGCTGTCATATTTGCCCGGAAGTTGTCCAGGCATCATTCTCTTGTCTCGGTAGAGTCCACGAACGTCTCCGAGTCCTTGTGGTGGGACAAATTATTTTCCACCCTTTCTCTCACAGGCTTGATGCGTCAAACCTCTCACTGTTCTATCGCTAATTCCATGGAAAGTGTTAGGATGAACTACATTCGTAGGATCCGCCAGTTCTAAACTTCTAGGCTAGGACTCGGCATGTCAGTCACATTCCTTTCGTGTCCTATTGGTGAGAAGTGAGTTCCACTCGAACAGCTTCTTCCCGAGAGCCACTGCCTCGTGGAACCGACTTCCAAGAGGATGCTTCCCCGATCACTACAATCTTAACCTAATCATGTCTATGGTTAACCGTTATCTTTCTCCCTTGTCAGCATAAACTGCCTCTTAATGTAAACCTGTACCTCCAGTGACCCTGGGGCTTGTACAGTTGAACCTTACTGTAATATATATATATATATATATATATATATATATATATATATATATATATATTTTTATGTTTATACGTTTTTTTATAGATACAAATATTTAAGTTAAGTTAACAGTATTAACAATATTTACCTGATGTCCGAGAAATTTTCATAAAAAATATGCGTCCTCCGACAGGAATCGATTTGTAGTTTAAAAAAAAGTAAAATCGACCTTGCTAACCGAAACACTCCTCTGTGGCTAAATCGGTAAAGCACGTCACGCTATATGACGGTTCCGTATAGGATACAGGTTCGATTCCTGTCGGAGGGCGCATATTTTCTATGACAATTTCCCAGACATTCAGGCCGGTAAATGTCGTTAATACGGTTTATTATGAACAGAGCATAAATATTTGTATCTATAAAAAGAATGTATAAACATAAAAGCAATGTCTTAAAATAATAGTCGGACTTTGTCCATTTCATTATATATATATATATATATATATATTATATGCACAGTTCTTAGTGGAAAGCGTTCAATATCAGTGATAGAACTAACATATTCAGTTTTATGGCTAGGAGTTTGTGACCCTGGGTTTGCGATCATCTGACAAACTGGTTTATTTTTTAAAATTGGATCTATTTATGCTTTTTTGACTCTGTTTGGTGGTGGGAGGGGAATCTACGTCTGTGTTTGTTTGGTGTGAGACACTCATACGCATAGACACACATACATACAAGCTTACGCATCTTGTTTCGCATAAACATATCCATATAAACAATTCGAGGCTAAGCGCAGATGCATATCCATGCCTCCGGGCATACATAC